TTTACTCGCAGGGATAGCTTGTTGGGCTCAAAACCCCCGCGAGGGACGATCGGAGCTTATTTGTTGGAGGCGACTCCGAACTCGCCTCCCCACACACCTACCCGGGAAATTAGGGCGCAAGCTTTTAGTGGAGGCAGGGAGTCCGTCCCTCGGCTCCGCTTGCTTATCAGAGCAGGCGCGGGGTCGCTTTTGGTCGGCGATTATCCCCTATCCGCCACCTGGGGACGCCCCACGTAGCCTCGCGACTAACCGGCTGTGATCCCTCTATGAGGGAGATCCGTGGACTGCATTTGCACTTTATACTGCCATAATCACATTATTTTATTACTTTTCACACAATTTTGAAGCTCATTAGGTTGGCACATGAGTAATGTGACTCTTTATATAACTTTCGTCTTTTTGAGCGCAACGCATTCATCTTCCAGCAATATAAGCATTTGTTGTTGTAAACTACAAATGCAGACATTTTTGCCGAATTCCATCTTATGTAAGGTTTACGGTGAGTTTACGGTATGACGGGATAATTTTTAGATTGCGTCAGATTTTGCTGAAACTCGGCCTATAGGGCCTATTCGGCATGCTGGTCACAAAAATGAGACCCGTTAGCATGAAAAGGCCCTTTCCTAAGGTTATGAAACGAACTTCCAACTAAGCGACACATGAATCTGATTTTCGTGTTCATCATGTTGGATACTTCTTTTACTGATTCCAATGTATCGTCTTTTAGCTACATGCTGCCTTAATTCCTTTTTGATTATGTTTGATTTAGGTTTGATTTTCAATAGTTTTTAAAGAATGCTTGAATTTTTTACTACCTTATAAAAATTAGATGTTTTGCAAACTTGCAGCTTACACCACAGTCTACATGGTGCCAGAGAATGAGGATGCTAAATTACTATCATTAATAAAAAAGACGTTATGGGAAAAGCTGCAAAATCTATGTGCCATAATTCAAAATTCTGCGACAAGTTTCATTTGCAGTCGCCTTCTTATGTTAGGTTAGTGCATTATTACTATCGCTACCATTACAAAGTAAATGAGCGATTTTCGCTTCAAATTATGAAGATTTCAAAACATAGGTTACGTCAGTGCGCACTTCTGAAATTGAGAAATACTGCGATTTTTTCCACAAATTTCGCCTGCCTCGGCAAAAAAAGGCAAGTATTAAAAGGAGGAGAAAAAGTTGCATCGAATGGTGACTGAAGTGTTTAACATTTTATGTTCTATGAGGTTAAAATAGGCTGAATGTATAATTTGGTCACTTCAAAAAATAAATCGTAGAAATTCTGAAAGACAAGCCGTATGGCTACAAAAAATTGCGCTAGTTGGCAAAAGGTTTGCCCTATCTGCTGGTTATTAGGGCTTCCCTGAAAGTCTCATACAAAAATTTTGAAAATTAGCGAAAGTTGGATATGATGAAAACGAGTGGTTGCAATTTCCAGCAAATATCTCGTCACTCTTGCAACAAAACACAGTGTGAGTTTTGCAGCTGGAAAGAGGAAGAAATTCTGCATCGGATACATTTTGAAGTGTTTGTTTATCTTTATTCTAGCGTGTTTGCCGATGGATTGAAAACACTGACAAAACTTTTGCACCAACCTAATATTTTCTTAAGAATTATCTAGATTGAGATATCTGTGCCTCCACCTTCTTCTTACAAACTGACTGGACTTGATATCTCCCTCCTTAGATATTGGCGCCTCAACATGGGTAATCGTTTTGGTCATTCTGTGGCCTATAAATTTCTTCTGAAGAAGGCGATCGCCGAATCTTTGCCCATTTCTGTAAGCGTAAGGGTAAACCCTCCTGTTGACGTTTTTGCAAAGACGATTAGCGGTTCAGCACGCGGAAAACCAAAAATCCTTATACTAGGTCGGTGCAAAAGTTTTGTCAGGTTTTTAAAATGACTCGCAAATCCTATGCAGTAGAGATGAACAAACATTTCAAGATGTATTTGATGCAGAAGTTCTTCCTCTTTTCAGTTGTTGTATTCGCCATGCATTTATTGGGAGAGTGCGGAGATAATCACTGGAAACTACAACCCTTCGCTTTCAGCATGTCCAACTTTCATTGATTTCAAAACTTTTCTTCTGAACTTTTGGGGGGAGGCTTTAATAACCAGTAAATGACAAACCTATTGCCAACCAAAGCAATTTTTTCTTTTTTAGCTACTCTTTTGAGATTTTTTAAGTCTTGAGTTGAGGAGTTAGAGTATCGAGTTTTGAAAAAGTCGCATGACCTATTATTCCACCAAATATCGCAAAATTTTCAGATTAATAAGGTTTCAAAACTCGATTAATGACTATTACTGACCTTACAACGTAATTAAGCAATTTTCGCTTTAAAATATGAAGATTTTGAAACTTGAGGCTCGTCAATGTGCACTCGTGAAATTGGAAAGTACTGCGATTTTCTGCACATGTATGGCATGTCTCGCCAAGATAAGGCAACTATCAGAAAGAGGAAAAGAAGATGAATCGAATGGCACCCAAACTGTTTCTAATTTCATGTTCTATGAGGTAAGAACAAGCGGAATATAGAATTTGGTCACTTCAAGAAATGTATTAATATGAAAATTATGAAACACAAACCGCAGAGCTACGAAAAATTGCGTCAGTTGGCAAAAGGTTTGCCCTATCTGCTGATTATTAATGCTCCTTCAGAAATTTTATATAAAAATTCCGAAAAGCGATCGGACTTGGTGAAAAAAAGAGTTGTAGTCTTCAGCAACTATCTCATCTTACAACAATCACAATCACACTGGTAGCGGCTGGAGAGAGGAAGCTTGCATCGGAAACAACTTGAAGTATATGTTTATCTTCACTATGCGGGATTTGAGGATCATTTCAAAAACTGACAAAACTTTTCCACCGATTTACTACGGAAAATTATCATAAAAATTATCATAAAAACTGAGAATTTTCGATTTTGTTTTTTCCTTTCGTAAGTCTTCTTTGTTTAGACCCTTTTCATCTTCTTTTTATTACTGGCTTGCGGCTACAGGATAGGCTACTTGTTACTTATACTAACAATTTTCAAGGGGTTATGATCAGTTGCAAGAGAAGTTTCAGAAAAAAAACTTTTTGTTATCGATCGATATTTTTCCGCCCGTTTTCGATATGAGATAGTTGGATGTGCTCTAATTGCGAAAGATTTGCTACCTCTGATAGTCTTTATCGAACCAAAAAATGCAGATTTTTTAGAAAGTCATAACATGCCAAAGTAAGAATTCGCAAAACGCGCATTACTTTTGCGCCATCCTAATACTTTGAGTCACCCTTTCTGCAGAAACGTTCACTTTGGTACCTTATGACGGAAAAGTTCCTACAAATATACTGCGAATCTTACGCGGATTACTTGAAATTCAATGCTCCAGCTCAAACTCGATCTTTAAAGAACGAAACGCTCATAATTTGCCAACCGCAATATTAGGAAGTCTCTCAGAGCAAACTCATGATCGTACCATAAAATTTATGGATTTGTAAAGTCGCAGGGCTTCTTTGATACTTGTATTGTTGTCTATTGTGTCTATCTACTCCTTCTTAGTCGATTTGTTTGTGTTTATGCGGTGTTTTAATGGTTTTACCAGGTTTTGATTGTTTCGTGGAGACCACGCGATCGGGCGCGCATGCACATCTTCTCGGGCCGCTATATAAGGCGGCTGCGCTTGGCTCAAATCAGTCCTACGTTGGTGCTACGAGGAGTGCGGTCGGATCTCAACCGAGGAGCCAAGCCGAGGAGACGTGGACGCGCCAATCGCCTGGAGGATTGTTCTTCAATAAAGGAATTACATCATACCCCTGGATACCACGCCGAGCCCCCGCAATAGCGCCTAGAGTAGTCCTCCTGTTGCGTGACAGATTAAATTTCAGGATGCCCTGCAACCAATTTCTCCATTAACACATTGATGACCTCAAAGGCACCATCCACCCAGATTTTCGACTTCAACGCTTTTGTCGTTTCAGGGCCTTCTCATGTCCTTGATTCCGAATATGAAGCCGGGAATGCGCGGAAACCCCGACAATCATCGTTCCGGAGAACCAACAGGCCGGCTTTCCGGAACGGTGATTGGAGGGCGCGCACAAATGGGCGGGCATGGATGGGGGGTCCTCGTGCATATTCGCTAATCCGTAGCGATTTTCTCGCTTCCGAAGCGGCATTTTGCGCCGCGACTTGGGCATTGGATTGATAGGGGGCCTTACTTTTATATGCTGCCAAAAGCTCAACACCCTCAACTAAGGGTGGACGGTGCCTTTAAACAAAGATGGCATGGGACCGCTTGACACACATGGTGTGTCAAGGCTTGTACTTTGTTGAAATGACGACTATTTTGGCATAAACTCATTCCAGGAGTTTTCCTTTGCGCTAGGTGTAGAAACAACCTGCGTCTTTCATGTCAGCTTTTTAGAGCTACTATAGATATATTGTAGGTGACAATATGCTTAATTTAATCTAAAAAATGTTGCCTGTTCGCGAAGGGTCTCGGTTCCAAATGAGGTACAACTAAAAATCTGCATGGTCGTCAATGTGTTAAGAAAACGAATATCGATGAACCTACAAAATACACTGCCTTAATTATAATTTAGTACTGTTTTAGGCTTGACTTCAAAAAGCTGTTTTTGAGATAAATCTTGGTATTATGTCGGACATCTTTTGCCCCGAAAAATTTGTTATGATTCCCATCTCATACGCTTGCAAAACCATTCCAAAGTAAGTTGCATGCAAACATCAGATTTGGCACATATTTCACTTGAGAAATTCAAACACCAAAGTGAAACGAATGAAAAAAGTTCAAAAAACAGAAAACTCGGAATTATTATGGTAACAGTAGTTAGTGTAGTAAGCTATCGATTTCCATTTCTAGAATGTTCTTCACCTCTTTGACCTGTCATTTCGATCTACTCTTTAGAGAAAAGAGACAATCTTAATCGAAAAAATGATCTCTAACAACCGATGGTTCAAGCTTATTCTAAAAATGTAACATAAACAGCTCTTGAAACTTGTATCTCAATATTTATTATTTTCAAGAAAAATCAATAAGAGCACATTTAAGACCGACATTTGGTCCACACGAATATCGCAAGAGAGATAGGGAAGTCCTAGGGGACATGTATGTACACATACAAGAAAACAAAAATCAAACATAATAAACTTAACACATAACGACAGAGAGAGACAGAGAGAGGCTTACACTCGTGCGCACATTAGTTTCCCATCATTCAGTCATTGCACATACACTTGCTTGTTTATAAAAATTCGTTTTTGCGAGGGATGATAAAACAGACGAAAATATTTTCACAGAAACGATGAGGAGACGGGAAAGTGAGCCTATTCGGGAGATATTTGAGGTTCTTTTGCGGGGCGGTTTCTGACAAAATGAAGAGCGAGTCGGTGAATGAAATACGAAATCTTATAGAGAGCACCTGTGTGTTTAGCGCAGGCTAAGACAGAAATCACTAACTGATATCTTTCTATAAGCTATCAACACATAGAGAAAAAACACCAAATATATTATGATCAAAGCAAGAAATGTATGATTCATAAAACGCAAACTTAACTCCGTATAGGGATATACAGCAAATAAAACTTCACAATACAATTGATAAAACGAATGAGATGCTTTCGAAGCGACTGAGTGAAAGAAGGGCTGTGTATTTGCTGTGGGACCCTGTGTGGGAGGTGAAAAACACGACGCTGCGCACGATATCGTGCGCTTGCCGCGCAGGAACCGTGCGCGACTTGAGCGCGGCGTTGTCCCAATGATAGACTTAAATGTGAGGAGAGAACAACAGAGCTAGTACCCGATCAACCACATGTGTAGGAAAAAACTGTGAATGTGCTTAAGTAGATAGTTGAGCTTAATTCTGGCCGCTTCTAATCGAAAAAAAAAATTCAAAAGAGCGGGGCTGGGTGAGGGCAGTACATAAAAAAGATGACCCGAGTGAGACTTGCAACGAAGAAAATTGATGCTCTAATCGAAGTGCATATAAGACGAGGGGTAGGGGCTTCAAAACGCCGCTAATTCGTTGTCCCGTGTGATGGCCTGCTGTTGCATGGCCGCCTCCTGGATGTCCATGTCAACCAACGTGCGGTCCTCTTCGTCCACTTCTGATTCCGAATCGGACGCATCATGATCGACAACGTTACCCAGTGGTGACGGGCCTAACGAAGACGTCAATGGTGACGGTCCTGATGATGCTGAAAACAAGATAAATAGCAACTTGCAATAACTGAATGGAAACAATGCAGTAAAATTTTAGATGGATAAAAAGTTGAAAAATTACTAAGCTAGTGCAGTTATCATACATCGGCTACCCCATATGTTTGTAGACTATATTTGAACACTTGGCTTTGCGACATGCGATAGCAAGACGAGTGAAGGGTCACTGAAACACAGGCGCGGAAGATGCTCGCATTTGTTTAGGGCATTTGTGAAAAAACTGGAGAAATTTTTATAATAATGTGCCCATTAGCTTACACTGGGCTAATCTCACAGAGTAAAAAGCAATCGGTTTTAAAGTTTTCTTTTACCGTAGACTTACCGTACCCACAATAACCCTTACGCGTTACTTTTACGAAAAGCCACACAAGAGTTCTTGAGTCATAGTCAAAAAGTCTGCACTAAATACAAGACAGAAGCTTTCATTGTTGAATTCCGAAATCAGTCAATCTTCCCGAAAATTTTTAAAAACGAATTGAGCCTCATGCCTCATATACTGAACTAATTAGAATGATTTTTTAGATTTTTAAAAATTCTAATTAACTCCTAAAAAATCGGCCGATGCGTGACATATGCTACACCCCCTTTTCTGGAAATTTAAGTGTTATAGACCCACTGAAAATTTGAATGCATTCCAAAAAGTTCGCCACTTCATTTGAAAACAATTTCTATACGGTCTACCCCCCCCCCTCGAACGAAGTTTCTAGGGCCGCCAGTACTCAGTATTTTTTACTGCATTTGGAATCATTTGTGATTGTAGGAAGCGGTCGCTTTCATAACTTTTTGTACCGTAGACCAACCGTGATGGTAGGTGCAATTGAGGTGTTACCTACCCTAAGTAACAAAAAGAGTAAGTTGACTTGTCGGAGCCCAATACCTCAAGTTTACGACTTTTGTATCTCTTTTCTGATTTGCAGTACTTAAGAGTGCATCTAGAATCACTTACAGACCATACAAAGATTGAAACTCCCTGGATCATCGCATATTCACAGATAATTAACGAATAAAACTCACTTCGATCACCATGTTCCTCTGACATCGTATCCGTGGGATCATATGTCGAATACATGCACTTCTTCTTTCGTTTACAAAATTTGCACCATTGATCGGTGTTCGCAATTCCGAAACGGGCACGGCATTTCTTCATATCGGTCACATCTGTAAAACCGCAAACTTTTCATATCACAACTCACACACACACGGATCGTTTTCGAGTGTCGCAAATCAATCGTTTCTCTCTTTTATCGCCGGCGAGTGTTCTTTTCTCCGGTGTGACAAGCAGAACTGATGGACACGCATACACCGCACATACCCCTAGTTTTTCTGCAAATTTTACTCATCGCCATCAAAGTGCCAAATTTCGAGCGCGTTACTCGAAAATGTCGCACTTTTGACATTAATGCCTATCAGTTGAGCAAACAATGATAAAGCCTGGAGATAGCGTAAACGTCTTTTGTGTGCTAATAAATTGCAAAGTACAATATATGAAAGAACCAGAGATAATTTTAAGCGTCTTCTCTCTAAAATGAAATGATTATCCAAAAAAGCGAAAAATGCACCAGACGCAGCAGACGAATGCACTAAAATGGTTTGCAAAAATAAAATAAGACAAAATTGTAAAAGCTTTTATAGCAATTTTTGATTATGATAGAGTTTAGCGAACCAATTATTATAGTACAAAGTAGTACATTGATGAGTAATTAAACGCGTTTTGAGCGGTCGATATTACTGTATGATTACTGTAAGCAGCATCAATACCTATCCGATGTGAGGGACGACGGAGGGCGGACGCTCGCCCCTATAGGAATGAGTCGAAAATTTCGAAAAGAGATGAATATTTAAGTTATTAAATTGCACGACTTGCTCTCACTTGTAAATTTTCAGAGTAAACAGAGATGTTTAAAAATGTGAATTAACTTTGTAATACGTCCCTTCATTCCGAGACTGTGTTGCTTCCCCCTCCCCCCTCGGAAAATTTCTCGGAAAGCCACTGCTAATGAATAGGTAGCGGAGATCTAATAGCTGGTTTTGCTGGATGAAAATAAATTAATCAACAAATATCTACTAGGCTCAAAACTAATCTTCCTTCGAGAAATATTTATGTAAGTATTCCGATCACTTCCAGGGTTCCTACTCTGCAAAACAATATATCTCAAACCCCCCCCCCCTCCCAAAACCCCTCAAAACCACTATCTGTAACCGCTATCCGTGCTGCTGCGAACACAGGTACCGTATCCACAGCTCGTGAACAATGTTTATTTAACAGCGGTGTTGAGAGAGGAGAGCGACGCAAAGCTAAACGCGTCCCGCTCTCTCTCGCACTCGTTCTCGGCGCCGTTGGTGTACTGTACGAGACGCTAATAATGACTTCTCCCTTAGCGTCAAAAGCACACAGAACCAGACCGACAGCTCCCCCCCCCCCATACACTCAAATGCATCGGTGCCGCTTCTTTCGAAGCGGAGTGTGTATCAGCCACTCCACAGCTTTCTTTGAGTCAAAAACATTGAACACTCGGCTAACGGCGACGAGATTTGCGCGAGAGACTTGATGGATTTGTGAGGATTCGATGCAATTCGTACCTTCACTCTTATCACGTCGCTTCTTCTTACGCTTGTGCACTGCGTAATTCTCGCGCGCTGACCAGCCGGGATATTTCGCTTTGTGCTGTTCTCGATCTAATCGGGCCATATCGAAGTACCTGGAACAGAAAAATTTTGGTTCTGACAATTCTGAGGAAAAAGATTCAAAAACCCTAGAATCGGTAAAAAGAGGGGTATTCAACTTTTTTTGGTGTCATTCAGCCCTTTTGAATCAATTTTGTTCTTAGTACCTGAGTGAAGCAAACTTCTCAAAAAGTACAAATGTAGAGATAATTGGAAAATTTAGACCCTCAATAATGTTTCAGAAGATACGTCACTGTTGGAATTGTTCAGAAGGCTAGTTTTTGATTCCAATGTAATGATTTTTGTAATTTTCGAGAAATTCAAGATAGCCTACAAAATATTTTTTGAAGCTATAGACCCGCTAAAATATTTGAAAAGATGCCACAACTTTCCACTCGAATCCAACCAAAAATCGGACCGTCAGATAGAAAACAAATTACAGAAATGTTTAAGCATCTCCACAGCTGATTTCTGACAAAAGATATCTCCCCCCCCCCCCCCTTCTCCAGCAAAGACTCAAGAACGAATCGTACAGAAATATAATATGCAAAGTTCTAGAGTCGCATAAACTAGAAAACGACTCTACATATCGATTTCGTTCAAACTCCTCCATAGCCTAAGACTTTTTCATCCAATTCGAAAACAAAATCTTTAACAGCTTCAAAAATCAAAATTAAAACACACAAGTATAAATAAGTGGAGGTACGAAAAGCTAATTACATGTTTACTCTTCTAATTGCAGTAAAGATCGCAACAATTGCTGTGTAAAGGATGGGGAAGGATGGAACAACATGCAATTAGCAAAACACTGTTGTACCAAGCATGTAATAGCGGTTTCATAGGTAGTGTTTAGAACTGCAAAACTCTCGCATAATAGCCGAGATTCAAAAAAAGAGGGGGATCAAGCAAAACTTACTTCTGTTGTTCTTCTTTAGGTAGATCATGCCACCGTTTGCCCAATTCTTTGTTCAATTCAGCACTTTGCTTCTCTTTATATCCTAGTTCTTCCATCAACTTCGGTCGGTTTTCTTTCATAAACCACATAAAGGCATTCAGCGGTTTTTTGATATGTTCCTCCTTAAAGCAAAAAACTTCGAATCCCATTTACTAACCAAGAAAATATTACTTTATACCTTCTTAACCTTTCCATCCCTTGTTCGCCTCAATCCATCTTGTGCCATATTATTAGCCATAGATGTGATTGGCGAACCAACAAATGGTAACCGCATTTGGTTCATCTAAAAACAAAACAGAATTATCCATATTTCTCACTAAAAAACAGATATCACACCACGCAATCTTGCAGAAGAAAAACCTCAAAAAAGCCCACTTGATTGAGCGGATTCGTCGATCGCATGTTTGCCGCAAGTGGGACGTCCATCTTCATACCAGCAGCAGCTGCCATGCTACCGTATAAGGGACTGCATGGGCCGTTCATCATCATCATTTGTCGATACATTTCCATGTTGTGTGGACTTAAGGCTGCTGGCATCATACAGGGGACAAATGATGGCGACATTGGACCTCGCATGCCCATTCCATAGGGTTGCTAAATGCAAAAATATGAAATTTCACAAGAAGATATCCGAAAAAGTATTTTGGGGAAAATGATGGCCAGATATTTTGTTAGTATATCATTCATAGCATTTCGCAAACTGTTTTATCGTGGCATAATTATTATCTATGTGTATCAAAACCTCCACAACCAAATTATTTAATTATATTAGTAAAAAAATTCATTAGAAATTTTGTCGCTGAAGCAGAACATAGATAATACAAAATAATTTTACATGAAGGACTGAAGTTCCGATTTGGACTGATGAGCGAGTTCAATTAAGTAGCTTATGGATTTCCAATTTATTGCAAGTCATTTGTGGTTCGATCTGCGTGATGCACAACATGCGCGCTACTTGACGACTTGTAAATTAAAGATTGCTCCCGGTGATTTCTTCTTGTCTCCATGTCCTTTTTGATTTGATTAGATATGTATTCGTTAGTGATACATATCTACAGTTTGTAAACTGCGGAAAATTTTCGCTGAGCAGTTACCAATAAGGGTGTCGTCAGCTGCCGCGCATAGTGTGCAAACTCACAGGATGAAACAGAAATGACTCGAGAATGACATCCAAGCTTGCCCCCAAAAATCTCCAGATTCCCACTTAGTCCCAAATATCACTCTATCAAGGACTTCTCCGTTCCAATTCCCCAATCCCTTCCAATCTCCCATAAAACCATAAACACACAAGCAGCCATATCAGATACCAAATTCCTTCGCCGAATTGCAAAACATCTTCATATCGTAATCGTTTCACATGCATATATACATCGCCATAACACTCAATCGCAAAGCTTCTGTGCGATTATCGCTGAGAATTTTCTCAGAAAATGTGTCCTCTAAGCGGCTATGAATGGGGATTGCGCCTGGAAAACGACCGCACACTTCATTCCCTATTCCGCAATCATAAACATCGCGACAGCTCTCATCGATGACCTTTGCCGATCGTCCAGAATTTTGCCTTTCTGGGAGAAAAGCTGGAGTTTTGGTTACTCTGGAATTTTTAATAAATAGAAAAAACTCAGACAAAAATCGAGCCATACTTTGTCTTGAAAGATTGAAAGGCAGTATATAATTGAATATTTTTTAATCTCCTATCAAATTTTTTCATGAAGAAGTGGAAGCTTTGAGAAAAAAATTATGGTCCAAGCACAATAATTCAAACAATATCTACCTAAGAAAAAACTGGAGATCACAAATTTCCCTGCACCTGAGTATAAGCCTGCATACTCAGCCATTTGTCAAAGCCTTAGCTTTGGAAGTAAATGGTTTTTCTAAGCAACAAAAGCAAAACGAAAGAAACTGCCAGGAGCAAATGTCAAGGCATCCTATCATTCATTCTTCAAACTTCTTCCTGTCGACGCCATCGTCAAACTTGCAAAGATCTCACAGTTATTTATTGAGAGGAGAAAGCCTAACTATAATTTTCCTCAGGCAAGATTATTGGTGTTTACACAGCGAAGATGAATATGGCACAGAACACGATTTGTGTGGAGACGATGAGACCGAACTTCTTCCTCTTTCATGGATTTATCTCCCCCACTCAAATCCTAAGGAATCTCCCGAACCTTGGACAGATCCAAAACCTCGCCAGCCCATTTACACCTCGTTCCTATCGCCCTAGACTTGACCACCAACATCCGGGGACAAACAAATTATATTCTTCGACACAATTGACCGTATCCTCTCGATGAGTCGCACGTACACGCGTCTTTGTAGCAAAAGAAAGACGACAACGCAATTAGAAAGCGCGCCCCGCTGCGAATTTTGGCCATGTGTGACGACGACGACGTCGTCGTCAGGCGGCGCTACCGTACACCTCGGGAAGTGTGCTGCTCGTTCGTTCGGTCGACAAGATATTTGTGCAGTTGCGCGTGTCAATGCGCACGCGACAAATTGCGGACGCAATTTGACAATCGCTCGCGAGACTCTCGTGTAATTAAACCCTACCCGCAGTTAGTCGAGGTGACGAAGAAGAAAAGAAGTCGAACAAGGCGTGAGGTCCGGCGCATTGACAAGAAATTACGTAATGAGCGTGTTGTGGCCGTAGGAACACAAAAAAGCAAAACTAGAACAATGCGGCACCGGAAGTAAAGCGCTAAACGTCGCACCCACAAAACACGGCAATCGCTGGATATTTTAGGCAGAAAAAAGGTAGAGCTACCGTATTTCTTTGTTTATTTCGGAGTGCTATAGTGCAAAAAAAAGGGGAAAATGAACTCACCCCCATTATCCACGGCATCATGAAGGGCAACCCAAAGCTGGGGCTATAGGCGGCTGCATTTTGCAGATTCGCTAAATTCGCGAAGCTCGGTGATGGAATCGGCTTCACAAATGCACCGGTCTTTGAACCTGTAATAATAAAAATTAAGTCGAAGCAAATGATTATAAAAAAGATTGCTTTGCTTCTCTTAGTCAGTACAGTGATTTTCATGGAGATAAAATAGTAAAGAAAAATAAATGACAAGGTTAATGGTCGAGAAACTAAGTCTAGTAAAGATAAAATTTGACGAGAATGTAGAAAAAATTAAATATGCTGTGCCTATTTTGCCCTACAAATTCAATAAACAACAAAAAAAAATAAACCTTTTTCTATCTTCCCACGTCTGTTATAGTGAAACCAAGGGAACATGAAAAAACAAGTAATAAAAAATATGAACGAGTGAAACGAAAAGGTATCAAATATGCTGAGATATACTGCTAGAATATAAATATGTCTATATGGATATACCTGACTACGCTACTATACAATTTCTCAAGTTTTATGATAAACAAAAAAATCACACGTTTTGTACTTGCTATATTCCTTTTTTGATAATTTTTGTCGTTGATAAAACCGGTAATTCCCTATTCTCCCCAAGATTCCCCAGTTATACCCTTACAACTGATACTGTCAGATTATCTTTGTAGAAAAAAACAGTCTGTCTCGTGCACTTCCCTGCAACTATGACTACGTAATGCAATAGAACCTCTAGCACTTCTTCCAGACTATTCTCCCATAACATCAACTCAAATCACCTCATCGATTTCATCGCGCTATCAAATACCCATTTCACACCTTTCTCTACCATGAGGAGACGTTTTATGATGTGTCACCAAGTGCATTGCCTCTACGATTTGCAAACAATCGCTTGGAGAGATAAGCACTTTGAAACCTCCATATCTATCTCTATGCACTCTTACATGCACTTCTTTGCAAGCTATATAAGTGCTAATGGCAGCTAAATGTGCGTGTGTGGTCTCAAAGGGCTCGACATTCGCTCATTCTCTGTAATTTCTTGCGCTTTGGCGCAAAAGAAATTACAGAGCCTCAAGAGCTCTTGTCGACGGAGACTCACTTACACAAGCAGCGACAACGAGATGATCGGCAAACAAGCTCGATCACCGTTTGACAACGATACATACACACACACTTCTAACATTGCGCGCGCAAACACTCGACTCTAGCCGAAAGCGAGAGCGGTTAACAGTGATCGCGCACATAAGTACCAGCGCTTTACCGGTGTCAATAAATAGAAGCCAACGAGCCACTTGAGTTTGATAGGGCTATGGCGGTAGTGGCGCCGAAAGCCACACAGATACAGGGCGCCACAACCACTCATTTCGCGGGTAGGGGGGGGGGGCGAAATGCTCGATGGCATTGCCTAGGTAAATCTAAGCACCTGAACTTCTCATGTAGAAAATGACTGTGAGAACTTGCCCAAGTCATTGCCCAAGCGACAGCACTCAAGACTCACTGCCGAAAAACTCAGCGCTTAACTGAAAGTACCACTCCTTCCAGACCATCCAATCAGCGTTCCCGAGTACGGTATTGGGCGAGATTTTGGAGTTCAATTTACAAGCTGCCTCTTTCGAATTTAGTCAATTCCTCAGTCCCTATATATAAGATATGAGCCTAGATTTATGATTCTTATAAGTGAACAATAGATAAAAAGGAAATGAGTCTATCATACAAAACGCATAAAAATTCATAAACGCTCGATCCCACCCAGAATCAAAAAATGGGTCAATCCTTTGATGATGAAAAATCAAATAGTGAGATATTATGCTTGACCGTTGTTTGGGTTGCATCCTTGAAAAATTGTGATATACCATTCATTCTTTCGAGAAAAAAAAGCTCAAAATTTGAACCCACAAATGCTTCGATGCCAACTTCAAACCCCGAAAGCAACATGGGTTGTAGGAAATTTGAAGAGTTATAGTTCCCTGATCTTTTCGTGAAATTCTATTTTAACATAATCCACAATTTACACCCCAGATCTTCATGAGCCTTGTGATCCTCTAAACTAGGTTCAAAATAGCTCTCAGTTTCTCAATTTTGCTAAAAGATCTTCATCAATCCGTTCCTCGCAGTTCAGTCAATGATTCAAGAAGATATGTCTCCTTAGACAAGAAAACAAAAAGAAATTATTGGCACAATAAAATCAAAATTGCAACCGTTTATTTCGCATGCCAAGTAACATATATTCGTTACTTTGAGCTTTGTAAAGTTTCCTCAAGCTAACATAAGAAGGTGATCTAGGTGAAGCTATCTCCAGTTTTTTCACAAATGCCCTAAACAAATGCGAGCATCTTCCGCGCCTGTGTTTCAGTGACCCTTCACTCGTCTTGCTATCGCATGTCGCAAAGCCAAGTGTTCAAATATTGACGACGAAGCCACCTGACAGGTAAATTAACGTCGTAATTTCGCGTTACGCGAATTTACGGTCGCGATTACTGAGCGCCGTTCTAGTCGAGTACACTTCGACTCGCTACGCGCTGCTGTGATTGTCTCATTATCACACACTCCTGGTAAACTCTCGTAAATCGATCACAGATTCGCCGGCCATCGCTGTTACCTGACCCAAAACGGGACGGGGGCTCAAAAACGAGTTCCATCACATCGTTCTGCTAACCCACGTCATCATCAGCAGTGCCGTTACCTAGGTAGTAGCCGCGCGCGTAACACATACACAAAACAAAAGCAGCATGCAGCATTTACACAATAGCATGGATGGGTGGGCGCGTGTGCGCAGACGCGTCGCACCATAAAAGACGCCTTCTAATGGGACCGTAGCCCCGAGAGAAAAAAGCCTGTATAGGCACGAATAATCGCATGCCAACGTTCGATCACTACCGACGATGGTAAACGCGAGAGAGATGAGAATATGCGAATAGCATGCGAATATGTTCCTGTACATGGTGGACATTTGGGTGGACAACGGGATGCGAGGGGGGAGGGGAGTCAATCAATGGCATTGCCAAAAAAATCAAAAGAAATTGCAGATTCTTGACAAAAAGCGATCATGATGCCTTTACCTTGCCATTTCTCACATCAAATAAGCATTTATAAAGTTACGATATTTCTATGTAATGTAGTATTCGATTTTTACAATAGGTGCAAATCTGAAGAACCCACTCTTATCAAAGCTCAAAAATGGGTAACCTGTATGAAAAAAAAATGAAAACAATTAGTACTCTGAAGCCCTCCGGAAAAGCGATTCTAATGATTTAAGCTGCGATTCATTGAGAAAGATATACAAAACTTGCAAAAAGGTATAGGTCACAAATGCAGAAATTTTTTTTGATAGTTATCCAACAAATTTTTTTGCAGTATTCACAAAGCTTTCTCCTTCCCCCCCCCCCCCCTCCTCCTCACCGTCATCAGATTAAAAATAAACTCAACAAACTTTGAAATCTCTCAAAATCACGCATCTTCTTGATTTATTCAGTAAGATTTGCAATATTAACAAATCCGTCCCTCAAAAAAACGTAACAAATTTTGAAATTCTCTATCAATTCCAATCTTATCCGCCCACACTCGATGACCTTCATTAAAATGTCTTCCTCAAGTTGATTTACTGGATATCTTTCGCTCAGCGAAAAATCTCACACGCGCAATCGCTTGCACGATCTTGGCAATTCGCCTATTTCGACTTAGCATTTACGACCTTACAAAAGAAAGATTACAGTACATTCAAGGAAATGGATGTGATGACATTGGACATGGTGCAGACTTACATCTTTTCCATCATATCCTTCAAATTTTGTACTTTAGTGGATTGCTAAGTTTCCGGGCACGATGAAATAAATTTAACCTCTTTTAAGTGATTCACATATGAAATTTGACACCTCAAAAGCTTGCAAAACGAAATACTATGCTAAAATATTGTTGATTCCCTCTACAAGAACGTAATATGATCCACAGCACACAGGGCAGAGGCAGGATCCAGATCGTTGGCAATAAACTAAGTGTCATAAGCGCTCAAATTCCTCGATTATCGCGTTCGCTATTTGAAATATGAAACCTTGACGATGAAACAAAAACGCACTGACAACTGACAGCCGCGTCGACGACGACGACGGCGATAGCGCTTGGCGTTTTCGAAAAGCGCAGCTTTTGGGAGCAATGATTTGAATTTTACTCCAAAAAATCTTCTATCCAAACTGATTTACATAGAATCTACAAATTTCTACATGTGACCATAGACCAGTTTGCACTTTATGTTGTAAATTTTTCTCCGAATGCGGAGATTTCTTTCGGGGATAAGAAGAGGCGCGGGCCCGCGACACGCCCACACAGGTGCCGGTTGTTATACGGCGTGCGCAAACCACCCAAATGGCACTCATAAATGAGACCCGGGCGCTGGCCGGGGCCCCTTGCGACATCGACGAGAGCTCGCTGGACTATTAGACTCTTCGGGTAATCATGCTGTTTGCTCTTTGGTTCCTGGGATTGCACGCTGGAGAGGAACTGCGGTGAGGTAATTTCACTCAAGAAGAAAGCGAGAAAGCTTCGAAATAAATGAATATCGAACAAAAGACAGAGTCTGCTAGGAGAGTAAGAAGAGAAAGCACGATTACACGTACGATTACATCTCACACAATTTCTGCAATGAAAATGAAGACAACGATCTCTAAACCCCTACCATAAATATTTAGGGTAGATTAGAAAACAATTCTTGGCAAAAATACCAGTTTTCTGATTCCAGGCAATATCAACTACTTCGTATTACACCTGCACGGCTTTGAACCCAATGTGTAGTGTGCAACCACACCATCTGCGCGATAAAATCAACTTGATCGTTCAATGCCGCGTATGAATTGCCTCCATTCATACACTTCAAACACACATATATCGCCTTTATATAAAAGAATTTGAACGATTTCTGATCTTTTATGACTACAAAGTTTCAACATATACTAGTTGATTTCACAGCTGATAAGAGAGCTACTTCACTGGTTCAGTGTGCTTCGAAATGGGCACAAAAACATGAAAAACAATTTTTTTAGAGTTGTAGAAGGCCAAAGTTTTTTGTGCATCTTTGATTTGCGAAAAGGAGTATCTTCGATTGCTGACCTGCTCTTCTTTCTCAATAGGGAAAAAACAAGATTTACACGGACTATTGCCCCAGACGTTTTCCCGCCAAAAAGTGTTCAGCCCTAACTGCAACATTTGCTCAGAGCATTCTTCGCCCTAATAGCTCACCGTAAGTGTAATGACTCAGAGTCATTAAACACATCGAAAGAGGCAAAGAGTAGTAGGAAGAAAGAAGTTCAGGCGACAAAAATAGTAGCCATTACAGAAAAGAAAATTGGAAAAAGAAGACGAGAGATACAAATTGGGTAGGGAAAAGGTTACAAACTGACGTTAATACTTACATGATTCAATTGCGACACCTCCAAATAGGACTTTGTTCTTGAAATAGGCCAAATACAATGCATTAAGATGCATTAAGATAGAACTATAGGTCTCAATAATTATGCTGAAGCTTTGGTAAAAACGGGTACAAAAAGTGAATAAATTTATTTTTCTCATTTTAAATAGCTGCTTTTCAGTCAAAACTTGCTGCTCTCAAAGGTCGAAATGGACCTGAACCTTGCCACGTTTCATCTAAAAAATCAAAAACCAGCTGAGTTTGGCTTTCGTTAGCCCGCTAACCTCTTTTTTCTCTCTCTCTCGTTCTCCTCTCTTTGACCGCGAGCGCGTCCAGCGCGGAGGTCTCATTTATGGCTGCCATTCAGATGGTTTGTGTCGCATTTTCCTGCCACACTTTGCACTGAGAACGTGTGGCCACGTTCAAATGGTGTGCTGTGCATATCATAGGGCAAACGTCTAGTAAAGTTCGTTTTTCTAGCCTATAGACGTCGATGAGCGCTCGAAAAAAAGCGTCGAATGGCGATCAATGCGCAGAGTGAGACGCTTTAAAGTTGTTGGCGAGTACCTCGTGAGTTCTCGCACACTCACACTCTCACTCTCATTCGTTAATGTGCGTGTGTGTGTCACTTTCGAGCCGCTGCCACAAAAGTGAACTTTCAAACTTTCAATTATTGTCCACCAACACATCTCGTCCCCAGCAAAACCTTTTCACACTACACACCTTATCAGCCGGAAAATGCGTTGGGTGGGCGAGCAAGTGAGGCCGAAATCAATTAGGGAAAATAATCGATGTCTACAGAGACCCGGGGACGATCGCTGATAAGAACGGAAAGGTGCGGCCTTTAAGCGTACCGCAACGCTTACGTTGATTAGGCAAACTCGGACACCCCACATCCGAAAATGTGCGATTTGAAAAACCCGCGAGATGCAGACGAGAATATTAAGACCAAGCAAAAAACTGGGGGGAATACGGGAAAGAACAACAGCACCTGCTCGGGATCAATAGACAAGGGTTTTGACAAAAAAAAACTGACAGGGTCTGCAAAAGACGGCAGAGATAACATTCCGGTAGCTCAAAATAGTACTAAAGCAAGAATTCTTTCGCTTAGCAAGTCAAAAAAGAGATTGATATACTACCGCGAGGTTATAGGTAAACAAATGAACCTTATCCAATACAAAGTAGGTCTCAATAACCATAAATCACCACCAAAAAAAGTTGTAATCATAAATTTTTAGCGTGCCCAGGTCCAATAGCCAAACAATCATTCTTTCTGCAGTAAACCAGTTCATGAAACACACTTTACTGTCGCGTTTGCACTCAATTTCCCATGAAATCACCATGTAAAATCTACTAAACATAATCGTTTTGCAAAAATATAATCGACTAATGTGCAAATTGCTTGTTTGGAACATCCTCTCTCATAAAATCAGGGCATCTAGCTGGGATGAATGCGCAATATTCCGCGGGGAAAAAGTTGCAAGCCAGTACAGCGCGATTTTCAGTCTTTGATTTATTGCTAGGATGCTAACCTGTTTTTCTTTGTAAAGATATGAAAAGATTTTGAAAAAAAAAACTTGGCGAGAGAGTGTTTTAGAAGGAGATCTGCTCAAGTCAACACCATTTCAAAGAGAAAAACTGATATTTGGAGGTGATACCCGATCAGTTTAGTAGCTGCATACTTAAGTGGAACGCAATCTGTGGAAGGTTACTTAGGATTAAAATCTGAGGGGATTCAGATAAAAGATACTTGAATATCGAAATAAAAGATTTTTCGTGAAATCAGGTCTTATGAGCCAAAAGAGAGGATAGAATAGTCACCAGAAGGAGAAAGAAGCAATTAGGATAGGAAAATCTCAAAGGAAAATCCACCAAAATCATTTCACGTCAAATTCTGACTAAAAAGATTGTGAAAAAAGCAAGCAAAATGACTAAAATATGAGAAGTCATACTATGTAAACATATAATAAAGAAAACACACGCGAAAACGTGCTCTAAAGCAAACAAAGCAGCCGGTTAAATAAACAACGGCGGAAATTCGAATAAAACATTGTGTAACACACTGACCTATAAGCGGATCGCCATTGGGTCTCGTTTCGAGTTCGGTCTCGAGCACGACATCCTTCTTATCCTCGGCCAATTGATGACTGGACTGAGCATTCGTCTCCAGATCTTCGGCATCGGTTCGCCGAAACACTTTCACCTCATCGGCGCCCTCGTCCGTCATCTCAACAACAGCTCTTCAGGGAAGCGCGTTCAGAAGACGTGGCGAGGCGGATCGGGTCGTCGCGGGGGTGTTGCGATCGTCGTCAGAAGCGTATCGTCGCCGACCTTCTAATGATAGCAACGTTCATTGAGCGGTTGGTCGCGGGGTTGTGAGACGACGACGGGGCTACGGCGGGCGGCTGGCCGCCAACGCTGCGTCTCTGCCGCCGCATACGCGAATGGCTCGGCGCGTCTGCGCTCTGCCGGCGTGCCGCCGGCCGTCGCCGCGCGCGAGTTACAGTACTACAGTAGCGCGGCGACACGACGACGGCTTTGGAGCGTTCAAACGCGGTCTGTGACCTTGAAGCACGTGGCGTTTTTGAAATTTTGTCGCGGAAGCGTTTACGCATTGCGTGCGGTTGGCAGACGACAAACCGCTCGCCGTAGTCCTGTCAAAAATCACAAAAAACGACGAATATTCACGGGAAATCTATGAGAAAATGCTTTGAGCGAAATAGATTTGAATAACAAAAGGCACATAAAAGCATGAAAGCATGAAAATGTGATGAAATGATTATAGTGAACAATAGGTATAATTCTCCCAACATTAGAATTCCTGCTCTATGACCCCCCCCCCCTCCCCCCGCTTCTCCCCTCTCTTTTCTCTCCCATATCAGCCCCAAAACGCTATCGTTGCAATTTGAGCAGATGAAACATTGTCGCAGAAAACGAAAGACAAGACAAAATGTCCTTGATGAACTGAATGATGACTGACTGAAGATGGACTGACCCCGCCCACACCCCGAAAGAGAAGACAAATAACCCCGACGACGCCGGCCACGAACACCACATTGCAACCAACAACCCCTACCGGGCCCGTCTCCCACAATCAGCAAATCTCCAAAAAATCTCTACTCGACGGGGTTTCCCCCTGCGCGATTAGATTGAGCGAAACTATTGTGCGTGTATGTGTTGTGTGTGTTAACACAATCCGAGCGACTTTGATGTGCCGCCACCATCGACGGGTCCCCCGGTCCCATGCAAATTTTCTCCGCCCAGGTACCCCATAAAAACGGCGGCATGCCGAGCCACCGTCAAAGGTACAAAGAATAACAAGCACACAAAACTAGCACAGTAGGAGAGCAAACCTCTTACGTCGTCGCGCGAATTGATGTCCTGGTGAGGACAGGTGAGAGCGAAAGTGGATTGCTTATCAGGAAATCTACGAGGAGGATTACTTGGGTTTTTTGGGAAGAACTGGGAGTGAAGGGAAGACTTTGGAAAGACTCGAAGGTGACCAAATGTGAGAGAAAATCTGCCAAATGTCCAGTTCAGCAATGTTACAATAGATGAACACTTGTCAAAGGTGTTTCACACCAGTTAGCCTTATATACAAAAAAGGAAAACTGGTACTTGTAGAAGGAGTTTCATCAAATACTGATCAATAACACTTTCATATCCAGCTGGTAGAGAAGTGCTTTAAGACAAGTTAAACAAATTACTTACAATATTCATAGCTACCGTATTCAAATCACAAGCTCTTTTTTGGAGAGGTTATTTGAATGATATACAGTGTAGTATGAGAATTAATTACTATATTCATCTGGCACGGAGCCAAGAAAGCATTAAAAACTCGATCAAATTACTATTTCTAAATCACTACTGTGAACTACAGACGGTTTGCTTGTCCGTATGAATCATTTAACATGAATAGTTCAGTAAAATTTTGGAAAATTTACATATATGCCAAAGGAATGTCGTAAGTTGAAAAAGCTCATGTTTTTGCACAAAAAGGAAACCAACAGCCATGTAGCTCTATACAGTTGGTTACGGTATTGAAAGTTACCGTAGTGGAAGTAAAAACTTTTCTCGAACAGCTTGCAGTGTGTACATCTAAGAAACTAGTTACATGGTATTCAATTTGCAAAGGATCAAAAAAGAGCTGGAAAGGCCAACCCAGAGCCAGAAAGGTTATGATTTTCTAATTTCTATGAGGTACAGACGTTTGGCCATACAAACCGTTTCAAAAATAATAGTTTAGAAGAATTTCTGTTTACAAAAATTGAAGAGGTCTATCTAATGGACCCTACATTCCGAGAATTATTTTTTTGCATGAAAGAGGACGTATGAAAGTTTGATAGTGATGATCCTACACTGGTAAAAAATAGTGAGGTGACTAGAACAAAGATCGAGGCTCCACAAAAATATTGCGAGGCCAAGCAAAGACCATTCAATATTTGAACCAATTTTCAGTGAAGAAATTGTTTTAGCCATGAACAATTTGACGTATGAGGGCCGTAATCACAGCCGACACATCACACACCAATCAAAATTCCAATATCGCTGAAGATCTCAAAAAGACACCGACAATTCGTTGGGAAAAAGTGGTGGTGATAGAGAGTGGAATCGGAGAGAGAAGGGCACAAACAATTCGACGTCGGCGTCAGGGTGGTGGCGGTGGTCGGGCCGTTGAGGGTAGGAGAGAGGGTGCTTGAAGGCCAAAGATGAGGTAATATCGCTAGGCCTTCGTTGCTGGACAAAGACACCCAGAGGCGAACCTTTAGCGCTAATGACACTTGACATTACACCCTTAGGTACGCCCCCGTATGGGATCATATATTGATGAGAGAGGGGGAGACGATGCTCTGGCCATTCCACGATCCGTTTACCATCTGCGGCTTGAGTACGATGAATTGATGATGCTAAGCGCAAAGGTTTTGGGATGATTCGGCAAGAATTATTGATTACATCTCACAAAATATACAAATTTGCAGTTACTGAAGTTCTCTCTCAACTTCTGGAATTTTGCCAACTTTTATCAGCCCGTCAATGATAACAGAGACGGTATTTATTGATCTCCCTACTTCTAATCAGGCGCTGTTTCACCGTGAAACGAGCGCCCGATCGGGTGATGTGGGACGTTTACGATGATAGAACAACGCATCGCTTGATCAAGACAAGGAGCTTCGTGAATTCCGCCCAAGAAAAATCGCTATTCCCTTTACTTATTCCTATTCAACTTCCCACGGGCTAAAGTTAGTACTCAAAATCATCAGATTTCGAGCCCTTCCTTACCATGAAGTTCCCGGGGGTTTGTAGATTATTTTATTCCATCTAAGGGCAGGAACGAAACGGAATTTAGTAATTCGCTATCCGCAGAGTTTGTTTTTTATTGTTGAAAACCCTATATTCAACGACTCGTCAGAATATTCAAAGCAAAAAGGTTCTCAGTAACGTCTAAAACTGAGATGGGGTCACGTAAAGGGTAAAAGACTCAGCTGGGAGAACTAATGGCCAAAGCTTTACCCAACGGGAAGGACAACTTTTCCTAATGATTGTCCCTAAGGGGATTTGCCGCTGTGATAAGAATCCTCGCCATGAGATGATAGAGATTTGAATGGGCCTTCGTCGATGCTGCGAAGGGGGGAGGGGGGGGGGGTAAAACCGAAAATTATGGCGATTTGGATTGGCGAAAGCAAAGCGAAATCAGCAATTTCTAGATTGGTGGGTTTTCAATGCTTTTGTTATGACAAAACTCTTGATAAAGTGAAGGGGTGAGGGAGGAAAGGGAAATCTAGAGCCTACAGAGAGCTGTGAGGTGGCGACAAAATAAGTAAAATCTACAGCATCCAAAGAGCAGGATACGGAGCCGAAGACACTACCTTTTAGTCTCGCTCTCGTTTTACCTCCCCTATATACGGTCGAGTTGTTTTCACAACTCAACACAAGAAAGGGACAGTGACACCCTGTCTACCGTACCCGTCCATTATCCTTTAGCCGAGAATAACTAACTCCTATTCAAACAGGCCACATGTAAGGGGGGGGGTCTGTACTGTTAGCCGAGTAAATGAGACGACGACGACCGGCTCGCGATTCTCGTGTGTAATCCGATCCGCTAGGCAGCAGCACAGAGCGAAAGAGCCACCGTAACTGATACCATAACAGATCCATCAACAGAATTGGACAGGCACAGAAGGCCAACGATTGAATTGGCCAGAAGTCGTGACATCGGGGCGGTGGTCGTGCGACGAAGACGACGACGACGGAAGTGCGGATACGCGGACTTGGGCGAGCGATCGGACGAGAGTGATTGGCGGGTTCCTTTTCTTCCCATGGTGGCACTTAGTTCATGACGGAGGTGGGATGGAAGGTCAGATTCGAGTGAGACTGGAGAATGTTGGGACATATATATTTAGATTTTCGGGATTTATTTGCGAATAAGGCTCAACTAATACAATTTTTCAGGTCCTCCTCCTGACTCGAAATTTATTATTAATGATTACATCAAGTAATTGATGGTGCAAACTTTCGAACAACAATTACTAGAGTTTTAGAAAATCTCAAAAACTCTTTTACCATGCATTTTTCGCAACGAAAAAATATGTCGAAAAATCTTTGCCTCGAATCTGCATTAATTTTTGTTCCAATATTGTAAGTAAATCACAGATCTACAGGCAAGAATCTGTTTGTCAAAGGCCGCTGAAAAGCCTGGATAATTACAGTAAATTTTCCTAGCAGTAGAATAAAAATCTAAAACGTAAAGGTAGGAATTTGAGAGCTTTCATTTACCGAAACCTTCTAAAACGATAGAACGCATCATCATTCCCTAAGTTATACATTTCTAATTTCCTCGAAGGATACCAACTTATTTTTAAATTTAAACATTGACAAATTCGAAAATTCTAAGCTCCGGTCCCACACACTTATAGTGGAGAGACAAGATAGCTTTTGACTGGATGAAACCTATAAACTTGCAATTCTTTGCTGCCATTTCAGAGGCTTTGCTCAGGTCTTGATTGATTTCTAAATTCTTATTAAATTTCAATTTATGTTTCCTTGTCGTTCAAGATCTCAAAACTTTCAAATGCCCAAAACTTTTCGTGTTCTAAAGAAGGCAAAGACCCCGAAAATTGGGAAAAATACAGACCCAAAAGGTAGGCATGAGCTTGATAATATTGAACAAACCAGAGTATGGACTTCTTGATATATCTTACCTTGAACCTGAAACGATCATTAGTAGTGACCCCTGGTCATAGTGTAGACGGAAAACTTGGTTATCCGAAAGGTAAAGAATGGTATGCTAAGGTCTACATGGACAATGCAGCAAGATCACTGTGACTACAATTTCTAGGAGTTGATATCACATAACGTGGCCACAGTTAAGATAATCAAAAATTAGGCTAGAAGTTTCGGCCTGTATGGGTGGAGATGCTCCATTTGCAAGTTGACAAATTGAGATAAATAGATCT